AAAAGAAGAGGGTGAGAAAGAAGCTCGCGAGGTGACTTGGAGAGTCAGGGTGAGTCAAGCAGACAGTCGGTAGGCAATAAGTAAACTGTACACCTCGTGAGCCAGAAAAATAATAAAGACTAAAAAGGAGAACTTACTGTGTGGGTACTAAGTAACCCAGATCACGCACTATCCTCCTATCATTAAATACCTCTTACAGTTATATTTATCCAAATGTTTATTCACATCCTAAGACAAAAAACCAAAAACTGTAATTTTCACGCCTTTAAACGAAACGTAATGTAACGACCTGTATAGGTTGATGCAACAATAAAAATAATGAAAAAAAGATTAAGAACCGTGAAATTGGTCGTTCGAGAAGATTTTCCATCGTTCGAGGAATAAATTCGCGTTCCTTTCGTTATCGCGTCGTAGAAAGCGGGCGAGGTTAACGCGTCGTCGAAAATTTCTAAGTTTCACCAGAAAAATCTCTGCTCTTTCTTGGAAAAATTCCTGCCCGATGTACGATCAGATTTGTCCGAGGTGATCGAATCGACGATAGAACTGCAGCCATTATTTTTCACGCTATTGGAATTCGAAAGCGATTTACAGAGCTAATAAATATCAGTTGTTCCTGCGATTCCGTCTTCAAACTTATACAGAGAGTGTTCCATGAGTTGTCTCGAAGAAATTTTCTAATTTTCTATCTCCCTGGACAAAAGGCTCGCGTCGTATCGTACTTGCACTCTGCTCCATCGCGATGCCCCGCCCTTTCTATTAACGCGCTGGATAACCGTGAAGGCTTGAACAATAGGATCGAACGCGAGTGTTTCGTGATGCAACCGGGTTCATCCAGCCTGTTCTCGAATCGTATTCCAGTTCGAGAGCACGAAAGTATGGCGATTCGAACGATAAATCGCGGATCGTTCTTACGCGGGCGTTCAAGTCTCCCGAGAACGATGCTTTCCCTAAACGATCAATCTTGTTTTTATAATTCCTTCGAAATTTTTCTCGACGCGTAACACACGCGAATTTCTCTTTTTACCGAGTGATTTTTTCCAACACAGCAATTAGGCGCAGCTTGTAAATAGAAATTGCATTTTAGAATAGTCCGCGAACGAGCGAACGATCGCGCGTATGCGGGCATCGAAGTCTCCAGCCTGGATCTCCGTAGAAAACGCGTTTTCGCGACTCGCGCGACAGTTGCGTTATCGCGAATGCGATAATTGAACAAATGTTTGCACTCACGTGCATTAACTCTCGACTCAACGTATAATTTTCTTAGTAACGAATCAAACACGTTGACAGATACTGAAGGAATCGAAGAAATTTGACATTTTCCTCTGCACGTTCGTGGAAAATGTTGTACGCAAAAGCCGAGCGAACTGAAACTGAAACTAAGGCTTTTGGAAGTATTGAAAAGTGAACCTTTACACGTTACCGCGACCTTTGGAGTAATTATCCCGATAGTTGGCGTTTCTTACTAATAAAACCTGTTAAATAAATAAATAAAAGGAGAGAAGTATGCGGTGTGGTAAATAGAATTTTCACGACTACGTAACATCGCCTTTGGCTAGTTCTGAGATAAGACGAGCCGTAGACACGAAGCTGAGACGAGTTTCATGCCTCTTCCATACCAATCTTCTACGCGAGGAGCGTGTAATACGTGCGAGCCTCTTGAGCAATCGTCTACTGGGTGTTCGCGAATCGACGTATCGACGTAACGATCGAGATTAACACGAAAACCGTCTCTCGATCTTTCAATTCGAAGCTCGTACGATCGAACGTTAGGACACAGTAACGCGACAGTTTTTTCTATTGTCCTATTGTTCTCGCGGCATCTCGCGTGGTCTAGAGAGGAGAGGAAGAAAGCCGATCGAGGGAAAGTTTGTTGGAAAAATTGAACGGTTTCGGCAAATAGAGCGGCTGATAACTTAATTAACGTGCCCCGCGGGACACCGCGGTGTCCAGCGACCATTAAGTGAAAGTCGGTGAACAATGAGGCAGGGGACTCGGATTTAATTACAGCAATTACCCGGAGGAACGATCGTTCTTGTTTTTCTCGATCGCGCAGAACACGCGAAATCTTGGAAAGAGGAGAGAAAGAGAGGGAGAACGGCTCGAAGTGGAAATTTTCCACGAAAACGCAGAAATGCAGTTGTAAAATCGCGACGATTGTTTTGTCGAGCAACGATGAACAGGTTATGCAGATGATCCCTGGGGGATAGCGTGGTATAGTCGTCGCGGTAACAAAGATATCAAGGGGACTAGTGGTCGCGCGTCGCATTAGGAATATAAAGGAGCGACTATACGTTCACTCGCATATTTATAGTACCGTTAACCAGGTTACTTCGCCAAGTACAGCGAACCGCTTATGAGACTTTAGAGATCCCCATTAGTCTCTGCGGTTGTTCGCTGCACTTCTTTCGTAATACTCTCCTCGTATTTATTTCGTTGGGACGGCACACGCGTCGATATTCTTGGCAAATTCAACTTATCAGATTTCCACAGGTAACACGAATATTCCGAGCGGTACGGTTTCGTTTCAACACCCGTTACACACTCGTGATCTGGCCGTTTGACCAGACACGTTCCTTTCCCCCGGTGGTAGGCAGTCGTCGAAGTCGGGATTATTTCGTGGGAAGGATTATTGGTCCGGTGGTTGCGAGCATGATCGAGATAGAGAGAGGTTGATCGCGTTCACGCGGGAATTAATACAAATCGTTTCTCGGAAGGCGTGTAACGGTACCGGAAAAAACGTAAACCTAACCTAATACGTTGCTCGTCCGTCTCTTCTCTCCCGGATCGTTCGCTGGAAAGCAGAAAACGTAGATCACGTACGAAACGAAGAAATCAGATGGTCTGCTTCGATCAACAGTTACACGTGTGAACGCATCAAAATGGAAAGAATTCTCGCGTGGGACCATCCGTGGAGCACGAAATAGAAAGTCGTTCGCGTTACGTGGATTAAAAAAGATTATACGTATCACAGAGAGAGAGAGAGAGACCGCGTATATTTGTTTGAACGAACGTTTCCAAGATGGTGCTGGAACGTGCGTCTACGTGCGAGAGGATTCGAGCGCGCCTTTCCAAGAGAGTCGAAGGACAGGCTTCTGCTATTACCTCGAGATGCAATTAAAAATCTCTCGTTCTCGCTTTACCAGACTGGACGTGTGCGGTCGGCTGGCGTAATTTAGATTGGACACGTATGTAAGTGTTTCCGTTTCTTGCTCCCCTTAGTCAGGCTACCAACTAATTTCCTATTAACAATCTCTTCGAAGACATTATCAGGAACGATCGATTACTCAATACTTCTCTTCCAAAGTACCTTCCGATCTCTCTTCTTACGCGGAATCTTCGGCTTGAATGAACGTTCGGAACAATCGTCGGTCGACCCACATTTCCCGTGAGATTCGTCTCATTGTTTCGTTAATAATCTCGTCCATTGTGCGATCGCAGGCAGTCAGAAACGAACTCGACAGACGTGTTCGCGCATCAAGAAAAAGGAAGATGGAGGGCGAGGAGGTAAAGAGAAGTGGCGGAAAGAGGTCTCGAGAGGAGAAAGGTAGAGCTACGCGAAATTCCGTTCGGATCGAGTCGGTAGAGATCTATCGAGCTGGTCGAAATTTTAAGAACAACCTAGAGGAACCATGATTAACGGCTACTTTTATTACGGAACGCTGCGTTTCACGATTCCTCCTCGATCACAATTTTCCTATTTCTCAGTCTCTATATCACTCTCCTTCTGCATCGCGCTCTCGAGAGGCCACTTGCACAGGTGTTTACACACACCTATCGCGAGGCGATACGCAGGCTTAGTTGGAGTAGACGATAATTACTCGCTAAGTCAACAGTCGAGTATTATCACTTGAGCTCGTCCGCGAGAGGAAATGTTAAATCGTTCCATTTAGCCAGGTATCAGAATATCGCTTCGTTCGACACGTTTCTCGATCCTGTCCCGTAATTCTCGCCTCCCTTTCCTCCTCTGCTCGACTTTATTTTTTCCCAAGGCCGTTCGTACCGGCGAATACGTGTCGACCAGTTCGCCAACTGGATCCAACGCTACCGTTAACGCCGTCCACGCCTCTTCCCCTCGCACAATACACTCCCCCTGTTCTGTTTACCTTCCCGATCGACAGGTAGATACGTGCCGCCTTACCATCGATTTATCGCGCGCCACTTTCAGTCACAGTGCGTATCCACCCTCTGATTCCAGTCCCCCAAGTTCCTCGTCCACGAAACCGATTTTCTATCCGCCCTGTTCACCTTCGACGACGTCCTTTTCCGTTCAATCTCGATCTAGCGGCCCGAATCGAAAGCCCGTAGAATTTGCATGCACCGAATTTATCAGAGACAAATCGAAACCGGCTCCCCGATTTCGCAACATTATCGTAGCTAATTTTCGTCAGGTCGAGTTTGACCGTACGGAATTAAAACGACGTGCAAACGGAGGGAAAAGATTGTAACGGATCCTGTCCCGGACCTATCGAACGAAGAGGATGTCGCGCGATTTCCAACGGCACCAGCTGCCGATATTCGTGTTAGTGGGCAACCTGACGAGTACCGGCTGATTTCTCGAGCAAGAGATCTGCCTCCATCATCGGCGAAATCTCTTTCCCCTTTTACGCGAACGTCTCCGTGGAACGGAAGGAAAAGCCGGTGTAGCCGGTCGGTGGACGTGGAAACGTCGATCTCTACCCGCTCGATCTCGCGGTGTTTATTTAGAGAAGATGACATCAGGCGCTGTCGAAGGAGGACGTGACTGAATTTTTCGCCAGTTTCACGGGAAATACCGTTATCGAACCTAACCGATCGACCGTTTCGCAACGACCATGCTCTTATACGGTTGCGTTTCACATCTGCTTTCGGTGTTCCGTTACTCGACGAACCGCTCAATTTTCCAACGAATCTTCCGATTAATTCTCCGGTCGACCTGGTTCGCGCCTCCGAACACCTTGTCTCTCTATCGAGGCTGCGGCGAGAAACTACGCAGCTGAGAGCGTAGAAAAACGTGAACTCACCGATAGTGGTCGTTTCAATCCCTGTCTCGACGTCCACCGTCAGAGTGACGACTCCGCCTAACAGGCAGAGTACTGCGATCGCGCGCAGAACACATCTCTCCTGGATCCGCATCCTACCGCATTCTTCTACCACTGAGAACGTCTGTCGAAAAACACCAGACACTAGGAATTCTCTCTGTCACTGATAATATCGAACAACTCGATTAGAAACACCGTGCGCCAACATCGGCTTGTTCCAACGATCGATGGTTCAATAATAGGTGTTCGATGCTGGCCGTAGAGTAGAAACGTCTGGTTTGATCGTCTATTTTTAGAGGATTATCGAACACTTATGTATATATGTATGTACGTGGAGGTAAGAAGAGCACATCGAACGGTTCACTTGGTTCACTGGTTCGTTTTCGTCGCGATCCGTGCCGAGGCCGGAGGTGAAGTGCACCGGTGAGCGGGATCTACCTCCTTCCTTTGCTGCCTCGCTCGCCTTTCATTCCTCCTCTCCGGCCAGCCGGAGAATTCTCCACGCTCACCTTGCTACAGGCCCGCCACGCGATATTCTACAAGCTGTTCTCGAGAACAAGCTGGACAACAACGGTGTGCTTTCGATACAGAGCTCAGAGGCCCAGACGCTTCAGTCAAGTTGGTCGTGGGGAAGTCCATTTCCTTCAGGAGGGGCAGACCAGCTTGTCCTTTCCCCTTCTCCGCCCCCTTCCTCATGTTCAGTGTTTTGATCGTCGCTTCCTTGGAGATTTAACGTCCAGCATGGGGAATCGATAGCTTCCTCCTGCCGTGTATGTATACTGTTTTGATAGAGGCGTTTCGGAGGTAACCCTTTCGCCAAGGGAAACGTGTGTCGTCGAATTGTGGGCGAATATCAGATGTATCTGCGGTGAAAATGTAATATTTCCAAGAATGCGTAATGATAGAAGTTGCAAAGTATACGAAAATTGGAAAATTACAAAATTACAAAGTTGAGAAATTGCAAAAATACAAAAGTTGATAAATTAAAAAATTACAAAAATTGCAAACATTGAAAAATTAAAAAATTACAAAAATTGCAAAATTGCAATATTACAAAAATTGATGAATTAAAAAATTGCAAAGTTACAAAAATTGCAAAATTACAAAAATTGATGAATTAAAAAATCACAAAGATTACAAAGATTGCAAAATTACAAAATGACAAAAATTGATAAATTAAAAACTTACAAAGATTACAAAAATTGTAAAATTACAATATTACAAAGTTGAAAGATTGCAAAATCACAAAACTTGATGAATTAAAAAATTGCAAAGTTACAAAAATTGCAAAATTAAGTAATTACAAAGTTGTAAGATTGCAAAATTACAAAAATTGATGAATTAAAAAACTGAAAACATTACAAAAATTACAAAATTACAATATTACAAAGTTGTAAGATTGCAAAATCACAAAAATTGATGGATTAAAAAATTGTAAAGTTACAAAAATTGCAAAATTAAGTAATTACAAAGTTAAAACATTGCAAAATTACAAAAATTGATGAATTAAAAAATTGCAAAGTTACAAAAATTGCAAAATTAAGTAATTACAAAGTTAAAACATTGCAAAATTACAAAAATTGATGAATTAAAAAATTGCAAAGTTACAAAAATTGCAAAATTAAGTAATTACAAAGTTAAAACATTGCAAAATTACAAAAATTGATGAATTAAAAAATTGCAAAGTTACAAAAATTGCAAAATTAAGTAATTACAAAGTTAAAACATTGCAAAATTACAAAAATTGATGAATTAAAAAATTGCAAAGTTACAAAAATTGCAAAATTAAGTAATTACAAAGTTAAAACATTGCAAAATTACAAAAATTGATGAATTAAAAAATTGCAAAGTTACAAAAATTGCAAAATTAAGTAATTACAAAGTTAAAACATTGCAAAATTACAAAAATTGATGAATTAAAAAATTGCAAAGTTACAAAAATTGCAAAATTAAGTAATTACAAAGTTAAAACATTGCAAAATTACAAAAATTGATGAATTAAAAAATTGCAAAGTTACAAAAATTGCAAAATTAAGTAATTACAAAGTTAAAACATTGCAAAATTACAAAAATTGATGAATTAAAAAATTGCAAAGTTACAAAAATTGCAAAATTAAGTAATTACAAAGTTAAAACATTGCAAAATTACAAAAATTGATGAATTAAAAAATTGCAAAGTTACAAAAATTGCAAAATTAAGTAATTACAAAGTTAAAACATTGCAAAATTACAAAAATTGATGAATTAAAAAATTGCAAAGTTACAAAAATTGCAAAATTAAGTAATTACAAAGTTAAAACATTGCAAAATTACAAAAATTGATGAATTAAAAAATTGCAAAGTTACAAAAATTGCAAAATTAAGTAATTACAAAGTTAAAACATTGCAAAATTACAAAAATTGATGAATTAAAAAATTGCAAAGTTACAAAAATTGCAAAATTAAGTAATTACAAAGTTAAAACATTGCAAAATTACAAAAATTGATGAATTAAAAAATTGCAAAGTTACAAAAATTGCAAAATTAAGTAATTACAAAGTTAAAACATTGCAAAATTACAAAAATTGATGAATTAAAAAATTGCAAAGTTACAAAAATTGCAAAATTAAGTAATTACAAAGTTAAAACATTGCAAAATTACAAAAATTGATGAATTAAAAAATTGCAAAGTTACAAAAATTGCAAAATTAAGTAATTACAAAGTTAAAACATTGCAAAATTACAAAAATTGATGAATTAAAAAATTGCAAAGTTACAAAAATTGCAAAATTAAGTAATTACAAAGTTAAAACATTGCAAAATTACAAAAATTGATGAATTAAAAAATTGCAAAGTTACAAAAATTGCAAAATTAAGTAATTACAAAGTTAAAACATTGCAAAATTACAAAAATTGATGAATTAAAAAATTGCAAAGTTACAAAAATTGCAAAATTAAGTAATTACAAAGTTAAAACATTGCAAAATTACAAAAATTGATGAATTAAAAAATTGCAAAGTTACAAAAATTGCAAAATTAAGTAATTACAAAGTTAAAACATTGCAAAATTACAAAAATTGATGAATTAAAAAATTGCAAAGTTACAAAAATTGCAAAATTAAGTAATTACAAAGTTAAAACATTGCAAAATTACAAAAATTGATGAATTAAAAAATTGCAAAGTTACAAAAATTGCAAAATTAAGTAATTACAAAGTTAAAACATTGCAAAATTACAAAAATTGATGAATTAAAAAATTGCAAAGTTACAAAAATTGCAAAATTAAGTAATTACAAAGTTAAAACATTGCAAAATTACAAAAATTGATGAATTAAAAAATTGCAAAGTTACAAAAATTGCAAAATTAAGTAATTACAAAGTTAAAACATTGCAAAATTACAAAAATTGATGAATTAAAAAATTGCAAAGTTACAAAAATTGCAAAATTAAGTAATTACAAAGTTAAAACATTGCAAAATTACAAAAATTGATGAATTAAAAAATTGCAAAGTTACAAAAATTGCAAAATTAAGTAATTACAAAGTTAAAACATTGCAAAATTACAAAAATTGATGAATTAAAAAATTGCAAAGTTACAAAAATTGCAAAATTACAAAGTTGACAGATTGCAAAATTACAAAAGCTGCTAAATTAAAGAATTACAAAGTTACAAAAATTGCAAAATTAAAAAGACGGATCCGAGTCACTGTAATAAATTTCATCGCAAAGTTCAGAGAATACGGAACGCAATCGTGTTCGTCATCAACGCACTTCGTGCACAGCGATCAAATTTTGTCTCAGCGCGCTGTTGCGAAAGAGTTAATTTCCAAGCGATTTTTTAACACAATAGAAACCGACACAGGGATTCAAAAACCGAGGTTTCATCAGCCGAACGCAATTTTACACAGACGTTACACTTTTTCCCTCGCTACGAACGCCGATCTTTTACTCAGAGTGCACTTTTCACGCGTTCATCTTCGATCGTCGATTCACCACTAAAAATCATTAAACCAACAGTCCTCCCTGTTATGAGAAATGTTTCGACCAGTTTTGCACTCTCGCAGAGAGTTCTCTTTCCCGTGCAGTTTATTCTCCAAACAACGCATCCTTCCTCCGACTGTTTAGAGAAGATTGCTCTGCCTTCGAGTCGATCTCGTTTACCGAACCTCCGAAAACACATTTCGAACTTTCCGTCAAGTTTCTCTTACCTTCTCGCGTTGAAGTTTGATCGAGAACGGTTTCTCGATCGATTCGGCTAATTACTCGATATTAAACGGCGCACATGAAGAAGAAACCGGCCGATGTTCCGCAGCGAAAGCGGTGAAATCGAGAGTAAGTGTCGCGTGTATTTCCGTTGCATTCGTCGATCGTTATTCGGCTGCTCGAACAAAATGTTTTAGAAATTCTTTCTTTCGACCAAACAATTATCTTCCGCCGTAGCGAGAGTCTTTCGAGAGTAACGAGTGCGCGGTCGGTTCAAATGTAAAACGTCGTTCGATAATTGTATTCTTGAAAGGTGGAGATCGCGAACTTTCGAGTAAGATCTTTCAAAAATTTTCATTAATACCGAAATCGTGGTAGTTTGAAGAGGAAAAACGTCTTTTTGCTAAAAATCAACTTTAAACGTTCCCAAAAAATTAAAATCAACTTCAAACGTTTCCAAAAAATTGAACAATTGAGATATCGAAAAAATGTCCAAACTTTGTGTGTTTAACCGTAGTGCGGTCTTCGGGTCGTTTTTGACCCAAAAGTCTTAAGTGTACAGTCGAAACGATGTACGCACTAGGGTTAAATCGACAAACGCTTCGAGCTTCACGTTTAATCGACTTTGATAATTATATCCTTGAACAGTGGAGATCGCGAACTTTCGCGTACGATTTTTCGAAAATGTCAATTAATACAGAAATCGTGGTAGTTTAAAAAACGTCTTTCTGCTAAAAAATCAGAACCAACTTTAAGTTTCCAGAAAATAAAACAACTGAGATATAGAGAAGAATGTGGAAACTTTGTGTGTTTCACGTTTAATTGAGTGACGCAGGCTGCTTTCGAGACGCGTACAATCTGCTTGAAATGGTCGGTAGATCGACAGGTGAGTAGCCGGCTTAAAGAAGACGTACTTAA